TGATGATGGTGATGATGATGATGGTGATGGTGATGATGGTGATGATGATGATGATGGTGATGATGATGATGATGGTGATGAAAACAGCTTTGACTCATTTTTTATTCTGAGCAGCAGTGGCAGATTCACGATACGTCGTGAGCACAACAGTAAACTGATAGTCACCATGCCAACGGGAGTCCAAACCAGTGACGACACCGGTGGTGAGTCACCACACTGTTGTCATGACAAGGGGGGGCGGGGGGGGTTAGGGTATAGTATGTTATCATGTATTTATATTCATATACTGTATAATAGAAAAGCAAGTATTTGAACACGACTCACACACTCTCACCTGCAGTACATCCAGTTTCTGACTGTACTTGTTTTCGTTCCTGTAGTTGACCTGCTGGCGGGAAAGCGAGTGTATCTGACCGCCAGTACAGCCAGAGAGCACGTCACCAAACTGTGGGAGACGGAAGGTACAGTAGACCCTCAGACACCCCCGCTGGCTCTGTTTACCTGTTGTCATGGTGTCATGGAGTAAATGTCAGTGATGGTTCACATCAGGAATTTGATTTATTTATTTTTAGTTTCTACAGCGGTGTTTGCCAACGTTGGTAAAAAATCCCACAGTGCACCACCAAACAAAAATGTGACAGGAAGTAATGAAATGTCACAATCACTTTTTCACTTAACTCACCTGACCTGAACCTGGGCCTCTTTAGTTGAACACAGGAATTGATGAAAGACACACACAGATCTTCGTCCCTCCTTTTTAGTCTTTTTTTTTTCTTTTTTTGCAGGTTTCTTCCTGAGGTGTCTCTTCTCTGGCCTGGAGGGGGCAGCAGCACCAAAGGAGGGAGAGAAGGCTTTGAACCCCGACCTCTTCTTCCTGGAGTTACTGGTGGTTCCACCGAGCAGGTACGGTGTTAAAGCTCACAGCAGATGGACGGAGCAGCAGAAGATGTCAGCCCGACTGAGACGTCTCTCTCTGTCCTCAGGTATCGTCCAATCAACCGCCTCGGTGATCAGATGTTCACCAACGGTCAGACTGTCAACATGCAGGCAGTGATGAAAGACTGTGGAGACATCAGAAAACTGCTGGCCCTGATCGCTGGAGAAAAAGACACTGAGGTGGAGGAGGTGAGACCCCTCCTACCTGAGGTCACAGAGGTCACCTGACCTCAGTCTGTTTCACTGACCAGAGCCTGGACCACTATTTATTATTATTTGGATTTTGTTTGTCATTATTGTTTACATTTTGTTAATATCCTTTTACATCTTTAACTCTTCTTCTTCTTCTTCTTCTTCTTCTTCTTCTCCTCCTCCAGGCTCCTGAACAGTCGGACCAGTCCTTCCTGTCGGGGGTCCCTGGTCAGACCCTCACTGATAAACTCTACAACATGTGGATCCGCCTGCAGACACACGTCAACATCGTCTTTGACAGCGACATGGACAAAATGATGACAGAGAAGTTTCCTGGAGTCAGACAGGTACCACACCAGGTCCAGGTGGTCCACATGGTCCAGGTGGTCCACATGGTCCAGGTAAGGAGTCCTGACCGATGTGTGACGGTGTCATTCTCTCACTCAGATCCTTGAGAAGAAAGACGGATTATTCCGGAAACACATGATGGGAAAACGAGTGGACTACGCTGCGCGCTCCGTCATCTGTCCTGACATGTACATCGGAACCAACGAAATAGGAATACCCATGGTACTGGACTGTACTGTACCAGGAGACACTGGTCTGTTCTGTGTACTCCAGTATGGGACCATGTGTATTACTGGTCCAAGAACTAGTATTTTTAAATATCCACTCACAGCCAAGAAATAAGAAATACACTTGAAAATACTTGAAAAGTATGGTATTACAATATATACTACAACCTGCTGCACAACACCTGCAATAACTGACAGTCAACACCAGGTGGAGCAGTCTGGCTCTGTCACCTCCTAATCCAGATGTTCTTCTTGTTCCTGTTCCAGGTGTTTGCCACCAAGTTGACGTACCCCCAGCCCGTCACCCCGTGGAACGTCAAGGAGCTCCGTCAGGCCGTCCTCAACGGGCCCAACGTTCACCCCGGGGCGTCCATGGTGGTGACGGAGGACGGCAGCAGGACCATCCTGTCAGCCACGGACTCTTCGCAGAGGGAGGCTGTTGCCAAGCAACTGTTGACGCCCTGTCCCGGTCCACACAAGATCCCAGTGAAGATCGTGAGTTCCACTAAGGTGTGCTCTGTT